AGAAAACATGGGCCATTAACTCCGCCTTCAGGGGTGGCGTTGGACGACAAGTTCCTTCGCGGCGGTCCTCCTATGCTGGGTGGCGTGGGCTTTCCGCATGTCATTCGGCGACAAGATGGTATTCTTCTTGGGGAAGCCCGGGGTGGCGTTGGACGACAAGTTCCTTCTGGGGAAAGCTTTTCTGGGATTCTTCCCCACCGCAACTATGGTGCTCTTTCAGGGCGTGTTTGCTGGGATTACGTTGATTCTCATAGCGGGTGCGCTACTAGGGAGGATGAACATTCGTGCGTGGATGCTGTTTGTGCCGCTTTGGCTTACTTTTTCATACACTGTCACTGCCTTCAGCATTTGGTGCCCCCATGGGTGGTTGGCCAAGCTTGGGCTTATTGACTTCTCTGGAGGATACGTTATTCACCTCTCCGCTGGCGTTGCGGGTTTTACTGCTGCTTATTGGGTGGGCCCACGATGTGAGAAGGAGAGGGAAATGTTTCCATCAAATTCAAACAACATGATTATGGTGCTTGCGGGCGCAGGCCTGCTTTGGATGGGCTGGACTGGCTTCAACGGTGGAGGACCGTTTGCGGTCAACACGGTCGCATCTCTCGCCGTTCTTAACACACACGTGTGCGCTTCTGCTAGCATCATTGTTTGGCTCCTACTCGACACTTTCTACTTTGGTAAGCCCACTGTGTTCGGCGCCGTACAGGGCATGATCACTGGCCTCGTTTGCATCACACCTGCCGCAGGTACAATTACAAATCATCTTTTCCATGCTTTCAAATAATAAATTTTTCACATTTATCTTTTTTCAGATAATTCTACTTGAGATCTATCTCGTTTAACAAAAAAATCAAACTTTGATCAATCGGTGTTATAAAATATTAATAGCAGACTTAACCCTTTCTTCCATTAATTTCTTTGATTAATAATGAAAACAAACCACTTTATTTTATATATAAATAGAAAGAAAAAAAATGGATGTGCATGTGTCTTAACATGTTGTGGTCAAGTGAATATAGGGGTTGTGCAAGGGTGGGCAGCGATCTTGATGGGTTTGATCTCGGGAAGCGTTCCATGGTACACAATGATGGTACTCCATAACAAAGTGCCCTTCCTAAAGCAAATCGACGACCCCATGGCGGTGTTCCACACCCACGCCGTCGCCGGCGCTCTCGGCGGCGTTCTGACCGGCCTCTTCGCCGTCCCTAAACTGTGCCGTCTCTTCTACATGGTGCCCGATTGGGATAAATACATTGGGCTGGCCTATGGCCTCCAAAACGGAAAAACGCAAGCGGGGTTAAGACAAATGGGCATCCAAGTTGGGGCCATGGTTTTCGTCATTATCTTCAACTTTGTCACCACCACCTTGATTTGCTTGCTTGTGGGTGTCATTGTACCACTCAGGCTTGACACCAATGCATTGCAAATGGGTGACAAGGCGGTGCATGGAGAAGAGGCTTTCGCCTTGTTTGGTGAGCCTACGAAATTGGAGAACATGAAGCACAATAAAATTTATGATACTCATGACTTTTCGTTCGTTGGCGAGTCAAAGGTATTTAACCAGCTTCAAATGGTTTAATGAGGTAATTCAATTAGTCAATAAAAGAAATGTGATTTTTTTCCGCCCGGTAACCCAAGGAATTTAAATGTCCGTCCTAGGACCACTCATGTCTGCTTCCATGTTCCTGCCGTCCAAATTCATGTTTCAATTCGCGTTTAATATCAATGAATGAGGTTAGGTAAACGGAGAGGAAAAATTTATGCTTTGCCTTATGCGTGTTTTCCTTACATTTCTTTTCACCAAGTCAACTTGTCTTTAGTTACATTTATTGAAAACTATGAACTTTTTTTTCTTTCTTTACAGCGATAAAATATAACTTGTACAACCGGTAATACGAATTTACGGGGCATTTCACATCAAACAACGAGCTGGTGTAGAATATAATTTCTTATATCGATAACTGGTGGAAAATACCCTAGACTACCTCAGTTGAGGATGAATGAGAGCGTGTTTGGATTCAAGATATGAAAAATCATAAGTTAATATATATAACTTATCTTTTTATGTGAATTTTAGACGTTAAATTTTGGTGGAGCCAGGCAGTTTCAAATAGACACAGAATCGATGAAATTTTTTTTTGGTGAAATAAGCACCCAAAGCTTGAGTATATGGAAGAAGAGGTTTAATTGTTTCAAACATATCTACAAATATTTTAATCAAAAATTTATTGGAGAGTATTTTTTACTCAAGTGAAAACATATCAAGTTCTCTTATAAGAACTTTCAATAAATATTTTATATTTAGAAAAATTCATTTGAACATTTACTTGAATGATAATACATCGACTTCTCATATGAGAATTTATGACCAAAATTTACTTGAAAAAATCTATTTGAGAGATTTTAAACAGATGAGAACTTAAAACTTATTGGATGGAAGAAAATTTGTCAACTAATATTTTATACTTGATAAATTCATTCAAGTATTTTTAGTCAAATGACAACATGTTGATTTTTTTGATAAGAATTTGTCGACCAAGATTTTATACTTGAAAAAATATAGGATGACAACATGTTGGTTAGATGAGGACTTATGACCAAGATTTTATAAATAGGAAAATTCATTTGAAGGTTTTTACCTAGGTGATAACTTGTTGGCCAAAATTTTATACTTGAAAAATTCATCTAAAAGTTTTTACTCGGATGATAACATGTTGCTTTTTTTTGGATGAAAACTTATTGACCAATATGTTAGGGAAAATCCAACCAAAAGTTTTTACTCAAACGAGAACTTGTGAGCTTCTCAAATGGGAATTTGTCGACCAAGAATTTATACTGGAAAATCATCCAAGAATTTTTACTTAGATAATAACATGGTGGTTTATCATATGTGAACTTGTTGGCCAAGATTTTTATAGTTGAAAAAATCTCGAATGAGAACTTATTATCTAGATAAGAACTTTTTAGTCAAGATTTTATAGTTGAAAAAATTCATTCGAGAGTTTTTATTTGCAGATAACACGTCAACTTTTCAGAAGGGTCAATTTGAATGGATTGAACATATAAAATAACAATTCTAATAAATATAATTATGTACTTTTGATATTATTTACTCTTCATGTTTCATAATAAGTGTCATTTTAAACTATTTTACATATTAAAAAATTTTAATAAATAGATGAAAGAGAACAACAATTTTATAAAATTAATCTTATGATTATTTTTTATTATTAAAAATGATTAAACACAAAAAAATTCTATTATATAATATTATTAGAAGTATAAATAAAATAGAGTAATTAATATTGTATTAAAAAATAAACATATTAATTATTTTGATTTTTTTCTAATGTACCACTTCTTATGAGACAGATATAGTTTTGAATGAAGTTAAAGTTTTATTTTAATAATATTCATAATAAATATCTGCTTTAAATGTCAACATAATTACTAACACGAAACTTTTCTTACTTTAAAAAGTAAACTGCTTTTAAATTTTGTAATTTATTTGATACCACTAATTCTTACGTTAAAATTCCTTTTTTTTTGTACGGGAAAGAGAATAATTTTGATAATTAATCGCCGATACATATTCAATGTTTTCTTTTAATCAGATGCAAATTTAAGATGGTTTAGGATTTTGCATATTTGTAACGAGTTGTTTCAGTAATAAGAACTCCAAAATTGACAAGTAACACAATTCTTTAATTAAAAGAGGATGCTTTAATTAAAATATATTAACTATGAGCGTCTTATCCAATCAGCATTCAGTTGTTGATACACGTAGCAAAATATTACTAGTGGAATGGACTACATACACATAGTTGAGAAAAATTAGTTACATACTCTATCATTAACTAAATTTTATTCTAAATCTTTAAAATAAAATAAAATTAATAAATAAATAATCCTTCCGGCCGATACAATACTGCGAGTGATGTTAGTATCTAGCTAGTTCAGTGATTTGAAAAATATTCTTAACACGATTATTTTTTCAAAATTATAAACTTTTTTAATTCTACATCTTATTTAATGATATATGTTGCAAGCATTTAACTTTTTTCTTAATTAATCGTAATACCATTATAATATTAATATTTTATATTTTATACATCTCATTTATAATAATTATTTTATTTTATTATTATCTTTTATTTATTTAATAACATTATATTTAAGAAAATGCTAATTGTCCAGCCCAAAATGAAGTGGATTTAGGTAGAAGAAAAAGATATTAAAAAATTATAAAAAAGTAATAAAAAATATAATAACTGATATGATATAAAAAGAAAAAAAATATATTGAAAATAAGATAGTTAAATCCACTTTTAATTCTTATAATTTCACGATTGTATAATTTTTTGTCTCTAAATTTTTTTAATTATAAATTTGGTCTCTTAAGATTTTAAAAATAAGTAATATTAGTCCACTAATTAACATGTCATCCAAAGTTACACACAGGAAATATTAATATATTTGTGAATGATACCATCTAATAAATATTTAGTTAGGTTGACTTTTACGTAAAGAATAAAATTATTTTTTCACTACATATGCTTTATTTATTTATTTTAACTAAAGTTTGTAATCTTTAAAAGTAATTTTAAAATTTATTAATATTATTATTTTTCTACATGTTTAACTAACTCTCTGAAAGTATCTTTCAGATATATATATCAATATTTTTCTATTTAATTTAGAATACAGTGTTAATGAGTAGGTCAATATTACTTAATTTTAAAAATAATAAAGACCAGATTCACAATAAAAAAATTTGGATAACTAAAATTGCATTCACAAAATAAAAAAATCAAAAGTGAGTTTATAATAAGTTTATATTTATTAATTTTTCTTCAGGGTTGAGGGATAACTATTCTTGAACAAATTATCAAAAAGGAAAAAAAAAAAAATAGTACATTGCAAAAAAATATTAAAATACATAATGAATTTTGTCAAGTGTTGTTAGGTGGAAAAGGGTTAATATATATTATTTGTTTCAATTTGATTTGGGAGACAAAGACGCAGTCACGCGTAGCAACAGTTGAAGTATTCTTTACTCCAAGCAACAACGCAAAGCAAAGAAAGAGTCGAAAAATGTCAGACGCAGCATTGCAGGTACTGGACGGAACGAACCTGAGAGGCGTGGATCTGTCCCTCCCCGACGGTTCATTCAGCGGAGTTAAAATTCTCGACATTGCCCATTCCCGCGTCTCGTCTTCTCTCTTCGGTCTCTCATTACCCGATTCCCTCAAAGCCTCTGCTCTCACGCGCCTCCGCACACCCGACGTCCACGCCTTCCGCTCCGCCGAGTACGCCGAGGACAAGGCGTCTTCGATTCTCCGAGACTACATCACCGCCATCGCCGATGAACTCAAAGGTTTATTATCTTCTTCTGCTGATCATGACGCACTATAGGTAAACTTGCGCGTGCGTCGATTAACCTCCTCGCGCTCAAAACTCAAAACAATAAACAAAACAATTCTAGTTGTTTAGGTTTAGCGTTTTATCTCAGGATGCAGGGAGGTTATATAGTCTCTGCACTAGTAGATGATCGATTAAGTGCGAATTCTGATTATTAAGATATGCCTTCTTTAATATCGATCCGTGATTCTGATGCTTTTTTTCCTTTTCAATTCGTATGAAATACGTCTGAATTTATTTTACTATTTCGTTCAGTTGAAATTGCAAAGAGTCTATTTATTTTCTTCACTAATTATCGCACACGGTTGCGTAGATCTCTCCCTGTTGTTGTTGTAATTTTCAGTTGCCGGTTGCTGAAAAGACTGAACTAGGACGATTGATTGTAGAGAAAATAAAGCCACAAAAACCTCGAGTTCCCTGTCTGATGGAATTTGACTGAAACGTGACGTGGATAATAATTTTGTTACTTTGTAGAACGTGTGAAATTGGATTAGTTTTCGTGTTTTATCTATGCGTGTCATGCTTTTACGAGCAAATAATTGGTTCTTAATATTTTTACAAGAAAATAAATTCGGGTTTTCATTTGTATGTATGTCTGTAGATAATCCCCTTGTTGTGTCAATCTTGGATGGAAGTACTCTCCGTATGTTATTAGAGGACGAGGATGACTTTGCTATGCTAGCAGAAAATCTTTTCACTGATTTAGATGTGGAAGACAAGGGGAAAATCAGCAAGAGTGAAATTCGGAATGCTCTTGTCCAGATGGGAGTTGAGATGGGCGTTCCTCCTTTCTCAGGTTCATTTTACTTTTTAGTTTTGGAAATTGTGTTTATTTTGCTCTTTATTATGGTTTTTGATTTCAGGTGAATAGAATATGGATAACACAATTATTTTGCAGCTGCAATTTTGTCTGTTCATCTCATGTTCTCATTATTATTATTATTATTATTATTATTATTATTATTATTACCAGTATTCTGTTTCTATGACCCTCATCTGTAAGATGTAAAGCATGAAACAGTTCGCTATTCCTATTTCATCTTGATTAATATGTACTTTAGGCCTTGTCCTCGTCTGTGGATTGAAAGCATTTCTTAATCTCATAATGTGATTTAGACATATCAAAGTGAAAGATATAATTTGTTTTATTTTATTCATGGACCTTTTCCTGTCATTAGCAAGTTTCTGCTATATCCTGGGTTCCTCACCTTTTTCCTTTGCTCCAGCGAATTACTATGCCCAATTTTTTGTTAGATTGAAAGAGGCAAGTAATATAATTGTATAATCTGTAATAAACAATTGCATTCTTGTTTGTTGGTTTCCTCGGTGGATTTGTAGTGTCAGAACGGTTTTCTCAATGGATATGCAATTTTAAGAAGTACTTTTAACAGGAATAAGGTTCCAAAAATATTATATCTAGCACTGGCTTCTACAGTTATAATTTTTGGATTGCCTTAAGGATGTTTTATATTATAATCTAGCACTGGCTTCTACAGTTATAATTTTTGGCCTTTAAAATTAAGGTGGCTCTCACATCGTCATCACAAGCCATATGTTATGCAACATGGCTGGGACCTTTGTGTACTTGTGCTGATTATTCATCATCTTTTTTTTATTAGTATTAATGATTTAATGTCTTATTTGCCATTTGCCAATGTAGTGTTTGATTTGATTAACAGTATATATATATATATATATACACCGATCACAATAGGTGGTATTTACTGTATTTTGATATGTAGGATTTATTTAATTTGTCAGTAGCATACAAGTCTATTTTCTCGGCCTGATAAAACTGACCTTTTAAGCATAAATGAGCAGAATTTCCTCAGCTAAATGACTTGTTGAGAAAACACGGGGTGGATGGGGAAGAAAAATTGGGTCAGGCACAGTTTGCACAGCTTCTGCAGTCTGTACTGCAAGATCTAGAAGTGGAACTTTCAAAAGAGAATGTTGTTTCCATCCAGAATATTCAAATCATTAATGGCTCTAAGCTAAGACAGGTATTTTTCATATATTATTTAACAATACTAAGTTTTAGTCTTTTTTGTCACATATCTATAGATTCTATACCATTATTTCTATATTTTGCAAATTAGAGACTGATCATCCTTTTAGTTTATGTAAAATACAACATCATTATTGAAAAACATAAGAAACCCATTAAAGAGTGTACCTAATCCCACTATTTGTAACAAGTCCCATATCGGGGAGGTCTCCTCATCAAGGAGGCCTTATAAGGCGGGAGGTTCTCCAACTTCTTGGACCGGCTTTTGAGGGATAGTTCCCCTCCTTAGCCTTATGCTCGTTACAATGGTGCTTTCATTGAGAGCCAGCCAAATCGAGAAGAGCTCCCCACGGAGGGTTCTGACCATCGGAGGGTTCTGACCGGCAAGAAGGCCGAGTGAAGTGCCGGGGAGGGAAGTACTGTGGAGTGCAGTCATCGAGGACGCTGGCTTTCGAAGGAGGTGGTAATGTAACAAGTCCCACATCGGGGAGGTCGGTGAGGAGGCCTTATAAGGCGGGAGGTTCTCCAACCTCTTGGGCCGGCTTTTGAGGGATGGTTCCCCTCCTTAGCCTTATGCTCGTTACACTATCCTTCAATCGTCTGAGACGATTGTAGAAGTTAATAAAATAACTCAATTTATTGGTTGTGATTTTTGTGACATCTGGAACACTTAAGTCCAGCCAACTCTTATCAACTTATATTGTGGACAATGCTGCAGCTATTAGCCAATGAACAGGAACTAAACAGCATTGTGGAGAAGGCATTGTGGGAAAAACAGGAAGCAAAGGACGGCTTAGGAAGCACAGAAATAATACGGAATTTCCTGGAGAGAAACGCTAAGGAACTAGGTTTACCTGTAGTAGCTGACGAGGCAGTCGTTCTTCTTTATGACGCTATCTTTGCTGATATAGCAAAAGAAAAAGATGGTGTGGAATTAGATAAAGAAGAGCTGGCAAAACTTGTGAAGGATATCCTCGAGAAATTCTCAGAGCAGCTTGAGGTTAATCCTGTGTATCAGGACTTAGCTTGAGAAAGTTGGGTTAATGGGCCACATTTCATATCGTATGTTATGTCTGAAACTTTGTGTCATTACATTGCAGAGCAATTGGGATTCGCATCCACCCTCTTGCAGCGAAATTTATAATGTATAATGAATTTTACTTATGCGGAGGTACCTTAAATAGCATGCTCACGGGCTTCTATACCTATCCGAGGTATTTTTGCTTCAAATTTATTATATTAGTGTAAATTTTGAATAAATTTTTAAAATAGGGTGAGTTCTGATTATGGATGACCATTTCAAATCGTGAGCTTTAAATATAAAAATGTGAGAGGAAGGAAAATAATGAAAATAAATGATATTTTGCATAGAATCATCTACTTCACTTTTATATTTTATTCTTTAATAATAAAATACAAAATTGTAATTGATATTTTAGACTTTAATTTTTTTAAAAAACTTTTTTAAAGTAGTTAGTTGTAAATACAACTTAAAATAATGTTGGCAAGTAGTAAACATGAAAATTGAGAAGTCATGAACATGGTGTGAATAAATTAAATGATTCATGGATTATTTATACTCCAAAAATGTTCAATAAACTTGTTTTAATAATAATAATAATAATAATAATTTATACTAATATATAAAAGGATACAATTTTCAATAACTACTTTTAAATTTTATCTTGCTTATTTTCTATAATTTTTTAAGATTACTTTTTTTTATGAGTAACTTCTCATTTTTTTCCTCTTTTCTATTTTATTTTAAAATTACTATAATTATTTATAAAAATAATTATTTTTTCTTTTAATATAATACAGGTACAAAGTGCCTTTTTTAATGATGATGATGATAGTAAAAGTTATAACTTCCTCAGCTAAGTTCAAGCTTTATAAGTATATTTTTTTTAATAAAAATGGTTGTAATAAAAATCAAATTTAATTTTTTATATTTTGAACTATCTCAATTCATTCTTTTAACCACTATACTAATTATAGTAGTATCGAATTTTATAAGTATGTTATTAAAACATATGTAGTTTAGACGAGAGAAAAAAAAATCTGGTTTGGTTTGATTAAAAGAGAGGGTCCCTTTTCAAGTTTGTTAATGGAAGAAAAAAATGGGTGTCATATTTAAATATGTATCTATTAGAGTTGACGATGTGATGAGAAATTAGAATAAATAAATAAATAAATATGAAAACATCTATTAAATATTAAATTAAAAAATGAACCACTTAAGAAGAGGTTGGATAAATAAATAAAAATGTTATAAATACATTAAACGATTAAAATTCAAGTTTCATATTTTTAATTTAAACTTCAAATTTAACATATTTAAATACATTTTTTTTTGTCACAATTTAAATAAAGAAATTAAACTCAAGCACCACTTTTATTGGTACACAAACTTAAGCGCCACTTTTAAACAAGTTAAATGAGACAACCTAAATTTTAATGTTACAATTTAATTCAACTCGTTTATACAAATATCAAAACGACAGTCTCTTGTGGGAAAGCGTCAATTGATTTTTTTGTGAGTGAATATAAAATAGCGACAACAAACTTAGAATCTATAATCTTGTAGTACAAATTACTGAAATTCTGCATCTCTAAATCGACTTTAGCCGAAAGGCATCATGCTTTTCCCAAATAGTTACGAATTTTACCAGATGAGTTGTCATTGGCTTCAATCATTTTGGCCGAGAGAATGACGTGAAAAACATGCGGTTAGCAGTTTAAGCAAACAATTGGAGGGTTAACGTTCGCCCTCACACTTCATGTGGACCACCTTTGTGTTCTTCCCATTCCAAACCACAGTGTAGTTAGAAAGACAGATAGAGAACGGCAAATCCAAGTGTAATGGATAGGTTGGAGCCAGCATATTATTGGTTCTCACTTCTCAGCCTTAGAAGGACTCCTAAATCATGGTAGAAAGTAATGCCCGATCGATACATGGTATTACATAATTTTAAATGCATTTATATGTTTAAATCCTTAATATTAACATCCTTAATGATAATTTTATGCACAATACATAAACACTTCAATTACTCATTGATGTTAATATTGGAGATACAATTATCGCTTGCAATTTTGAATGATAATTTTGGATCGAAGATTTTTTTACCCGTAAGTGTGTCTTTAATTTTTCATTGAAAACTTACAAAATTATATTCAACGAAGAAGATAAAAAATGTTACTTATTAATTTAATGCTTTGAAACATATATTTTATAATAAAACAAACATGTCCTAATCCTAACTCTCATCAAATACACCAAGCAATAAAATCCAAAGCCCATTGTCCAATTTCTGGGTATCACAATCATAAAATGACACTTTCTTGCCCTACATGGCCCAACCCTTGTCTATCTTCCTTTTCAAAAACCACCGACGCCACTTTAATCGAAAACTAGTATGCTGTACGGTCATCTTTAGCTTTGCACATGTTATGTTAATATAATTAGATGGCGCAACAATCGCATTTTTTATACCAAGATATGGGATATTCATTATATCTTAAGAATGATTCATAACTTATATAATGATATTATTTTTTCTCTAAAGGGTGAAGATCAGGAAGTAACCTCTCCCCTCTGTATTCATTCTGTCGAAGGATAATTGCTTTTTCTCATATTTCCAATGAATAAAAAGAAAGTTTAAGCTTGTTTGTTCGTTTCAACCAGGTGATTAGAGTTACTCAAGACTAAATGATTTATGACAAAATCAGTGGATGGAGTTTACAATGACTAGAATGAGTTCGGATAGTAAGAAACAACTTATAATTTTGTTGTGTTTGTCATTATTATGACTTCACATATGAATGTCATGAAGAGGACAATTTTTCAGCACCGAGTCTGAATGTTTTAACCATCTCCTTGAATATGAACAACTTTTAACGCAATAGTTGATGCAAGAACAACTCCGAAAATATGTGATAAATATTTTTATATGGAATAATTTGATTATAAATTAAAATCACTTTACTATGCTATTTATTCTTTATGAATCAAATTAATATAAAAATATTTAAAACTATTTAAATTTAAAGACGATAATATAATTTTAAAAATGATATTTTAAAAACAATAAGATTTATTAGAATTTAAAATAAAATAATATCTAATTTGAATTTGAAGATAATAGCATCTTATAATAACAGTAATTTATTTATTTTTCTCTAAAATTATTTCATCAATGTAGTTATGATATGAATATAATAGTACATAAACTTCGATTTTATATATATATTTTTACTTAAGTTTAAAATTCAAATTTTATTAGAGAGCACTAGTTGAAATTAAGATTTAGTAAATTTTGTTCAAAACAAATTTGAAATCCACACTAGATGTTAATTTTAGAATTTAATTTCTGTACATTGTTAGCGTAAAATATATTCCCAACCAACCAAAACTATCGATTGTATGATTTTTAAGTAATTATTTTAAGAATCAACTTCTTTACCATATACAACGGTTTGTAATTGAATAATATAAAATTATCTCCTCGGTTAGCGCATAAACTGTTTACCATTGTTTTTATGATTATTAACCAAATATTCAGATTTAAAACACTAAAAAAATTCCAATGGAATAGCATGACCTTAAGCAGCAGTTATTACCTCAAACAAGCTTACATAGCATTCAATAACATAACAGCTTCGTTCAAACATGTGAACAAATTTCAGAAATAACTTGAACAGCTAAAATCTAAAATCAAATTTCGACAACATTAAAACCAAGCCTTCACTTGAAACACTAAGACAATGCATTAACCACTCTATTCTTTACCATCTGCTGCACGAACTGATCTAAAAAAAATAGCATAATATAAAACGAACCCTTTCCTTGCAACACATAATTTATTATTATTACTACTACTACATCCATGCATAAGTCGCTTTACTCTTTGCCATCTGCAGCACGAAGTGAGCCAAGTTGAACCGGGGCTTGAGTCTCTACCACTTTGGATGATCCATAAACTGATAAATCAACACCTTCAGCCTTCTCTTTTTCAAGCTGCTCCTTAATCCAAAAGTATGTAATTCTCAGCCCATCCTGCAATATGACAATTCAGATACTATGACTAAAACATACAATCCTGTTGATTGAGACAATATCATAAAGCAGAAGTAACCCCCTAGAAAAGATAAGATCAACTACAAAATTCAGACATTGAAGTGAAGTAAAATTTGAACACTTTGAAAATGTATGATAGGAAAATACAAACGTACGTAAGTATATCTCATTCCATGACCCTTTTCTTGTTAATGAGAAATCAAAATCAGTAAAACTTTTTTTTTCCCAGATAATAAAAAAATTAATTTTACACAATTAAAATGACCTTTATCTGAAGTCAGAACTAGGAATAAATTGTATAAAGTGAAAACAAAGTATTCTTGCTTCACTAAAATAATAACAATACCTTCAATTTCATAGTTGGAGCCCAGCCAAGTTTCTCTTTGATTAATGTATTGTCTGAATTACGGCCACGAACACCTTCTGGGCCAGGAATGTGGTATATTGGTATATCCTTATTCTCAAAACCAAGAACAATCTCAGCCATCTCATTCATGCTGACCATTTCATCACTTCCAATATTCACGGGCTCACGGAAGTCTGATTTAGTCAATCTAAACACAAAAATGGTCCAGGACCATAATGTTTTAAATCTCACCAAAGATTTAGAACTAACTGACAAAACACATGAAGAAGCTAACATATACTTGACAAGATAAACACTATATTGTATTTCCTAATACAACCATATGGTGAAATCTTAATTTTTGTGAAGTCTCTAAAATCCCTCATGCTTCCATTTAATTCAGTATAGATTTTGATTGAGATAATAATGTTTCTTCCCAATTTAAACAACTGGATTTAACAAAGGAACCTACTAATGAAAATTGGCAATTGAAAATTCTTGGATCATCTTAAACATCTTCAGAACTAGCAACTTCAAATAAATATAGAGACAAAATATAGCTTATTAATGGCAAATGCACTCGACTAGATTCATTTTCAGCATTCATAAACACACAAATCTATAATTTAAATTTTAAAACGAGAAACCCTGGAAATAAATCATTAATTTAGACGTAACAACCACAAAATCAGCAACACATACCTAAGCACACCTTCAACACACTCATCAATGAAGGTGAAGGATCTTGTTTGCAATCCATCTCCCCACATCTCAAATCGATCTTTGGAAGTAAGTGTCTTCCTACAGAAAGCAGCAGGAGCCTTCTCCCTTCCACCTGTATGATAACAAAGCAACAAACTTCTTAAATCCAAAAGGCTACAAAAGAATGTCCACTAATTTATTGACTCAGATAGGACAACTGCAAAAACTTGCAATTCAGTCGAGAGCATACCTTTCCATGTCCCAAAAGGGCCATATATGTTATGGAATCTCCCAATGCGGCACTCAATTCCAAAATCCTTGTTGTAATGCTTGCATAATTCTTCAGTTGCAAGCTTCTCTAGTCCATATGCATCTTGTGGCTACAAAATGTCACAAATTAAACATGTTGTATACAAGTGAATAACAAAAGCATAACTTGAACAAATTGTTAAAAGGATCACCAACAAACCTCAGCGGGCCAGGCATCAGACTCCTTCAAACTCACATTTGTTTCCAACTGTTTAAATTCAGGGTAGATACAAGCACTAGAGGCATAAAAAAACCTAAAAAACACAAACCAAAGATCTTTAATCAAGACAGGGATAAAAACTATTATGCAGTTGAAAGTGACACCATAACACATGTTTGTTCAAATTCAATAACCTCTTAACACCATTGATCCTGGCTGCCTCAATCATGTTGAAGCTAATCATGGTGTTGTTGTACATGATGACAGAGTGGTTGGACTGGATGAAACCCATCCCACCCATGTCAGCAGCAAGGTTGAAGACATGATCCACACCCTTGGTAACTGTCAAGCAGTTATCCATGACCCTAAGGTCGACAAGATGGAACTCATGGCAGAACATGTCCTCAGTCATGTGCTCATTCTTCTTCCAATCAGAAGCAATGATGTAATGCCCCTCAGTCTTGAGGCGGCGTGCAATGTGTGAGGCAATGAAACCACCAGCCCCAGTTATGGAAATTCTGAGCTTCTCAGAGGGCCAGTAAGGTTCCCTCTCAAGGTTTTCGTAAGTGTAGGCTCCATAGTCGGTTGTTCCAGAACTTCCCATGCTGCATCCCACATCGATTGATTAGTCATAAAAGCATAAAACTTTAGCAGAAAGAAAACAAATTCATCACCATGCATGTTGCGGTTTTTAAGGGGCAGAGAAACAAAGACAGCATCTTGGGAGATGAAAACCAGCCGACAGAGATTGGAAGAACATCATACCCCACAGAGGGCGCATGGAATGGAACAACGTTGTAAAAAAAGCAATAAAATAATTAAAGGGTGCATATAAAAAAATAATTTTAGCACCGAAATGGGTGGCACTGGCAGCTATGAAGATTAAAGAAAAAGAGTGAAGGGGAATAAGCAGCATGAGAGAATAGTGAGTGTGAGGCATTATTAAAAGTGAAAAAGGTTGAAGAAAAGAGTGGGAAGAAAAGGGATTTGAGAGATACCTGAGAACTGAAGAGAAGAATGGATGGTGAAATGGTTGTGTGGTGGGTGTCATTGCTGTTTCCTATATATAGGCATAGCCACTCATTTATTTCTTCTCTACATCTATTGGATCCACTCCACTCAAAAACAACTCAATTCTACATTTTTCTTTCTCCTTCTCTCAATCATTTTAAATCTCTTATTTAATTTGTAAAATCAATATTAATATTAATGTGTTTAATACTTTAATGTTATGCTTGACTTATCAAAAAATTTAATAATTTGCTTAATATTATGTTTGAGTGATAAAAAATTATTAATGTATTTAACGTATAAAATTAATATATGAAAGAATACACTATCAAGTAACTTTATAATATTTTTAAGAGTTAATCACCTATACATTGTCATTGTAAAGTTTTTTACACTAGTAACTAATCATATTTTTTAAATTATTTTATTTTATTTTTATTTCATTAAATAAGTAACTGACATGACACTATTAAGAGATATGATTAATTATCAGTGTAAAAAAATTTTACACTAGCAATATATAAATGATTAACTCTATTTTTAATCACAAGTATTACATGATTTATTTAATCTTTATAATTAATAACTAAAAAATCATATCATTTTAATTTTTTATTTAGTGGTAAGAAAATTATATACTACCTTTATACTTATATATTACATTTAATAACTATAATAATTAATACTATCTTTAAATATTTTTTATACGTATAATATATTTTTTTTTTTCATTTTAGTCTTATTAGAATTATTATTTTCAAAATAATTCTCGTAAAATGTAATATCTTTTTTTTTTATTTTGGTTCTTGTAATTTTATTTTAGTCCTTATAATAATTTATATATCATGCCTTTATTTATTTTTTAGTAACGTGAGGAAAAAATATGTCTTTATTTGATAATTGGCAAAACAATTGTTTTAAGTAATAACAAGTGTTTCATTAATGGTTTGACTAAAAATATAACTATATATATAAAAACAAAACATAAACCCTAAATCCTTTAGAGTTTATTAAAAAAAATGAATATCAGATATCCTTTATACAAACCTTAGTAAAAATATATTAAATGCTATTTACAAAAATAAATTAAATTAAATTAAATACATTAATTAAAGAATAAATAAATTAAATTATTTATTTAAATCCTTTAGAGTTTATTAAAAAAAAGAATATCAGATATCTTTTATACAAACCTTACTAAAAAGTATATTAAATGCTATTCACAAAAAATAAATTAAATTAAATTAAATACATTAATTAAAGAATAAATAAATTAAATTATTTATTTAAAGCAATCCAAATTATATATTAGTTTTTTTAATTAGCATTAATATATTAGTTACAATAAATATTTTTTTTAAATACATCAAAAGGAATGATTTTGTCTCTACAGATAAAAAATAATATTTTAAAAAATATTATAAAACTCTAAGTAAATTATAATATTTTGAAAAATACAATATTAAAGGATAATTAATAAATTAAAACATAAAAACGATATTAAAAAGTAATAAAATTCATTGTTCTTAAAAAATAATAAAAATAAATCATAAAATAATATTTACATAGTTACACAACCTCCTAAAGTATTACATTGCTTCTCAGTCTTATATTAGAATATATAATTTAATTTAGTATCATTAAAGTAAATTATATTTTTCAATTCTAAAAAAATACAAACATTATACAAAAGTTGAAAAAAATATTTATTATTATTATTTTATCTTTTTAATTATTTTAATCTTTATAATATATTTAATTTTTTATTTTAATCTGTATAACATCTTATCGCTTTTGAATTAGTCCTTTGAAACAAAATATTAGAGAATAAAAATAAATTATTCACATATTAAAAAAAAAGTTAATGTATGTAATAGCTCATTTGGTCAAACTTTATAATTCATTTACTCGAAACAAAAAATATAAATATTACTATATGAGTTAAACATGTAAATAATATATATATATATATATATATATATATATAT